TATTTACATGTTTTTGTAAATAACTTATCTAATGTGTTAATAAAATGCTCAAAATACAGCTGACCATCTTGCAAAAGCAGCTCTTACAATCTCCGAGTTATGTTGCCATTGGCAGCTTGATTATACACATGTAGACTATTTCCTGGAATTTGAATTTATTTGTACACTCATGCCTAGCCACATTTGTCTAGCTTGACTGAATTTTACCACAGGTCTAAATGTTTGCTGTGATCATGCGCAAGAGTTTCTTCAACACTGTCAGTCAACTGAAAGACGTACTCGCAAGATAATCTATGCAGAGGTCACCAAACGCCTAAAGGCATGCATTCGTGCATTCGATGCCAGAGGTTGTGAATTTCTTTAATATCGCCTTATTATAGTACAAAGGTTGTCGTATCGACTGATGGACGACCTTTCAGACCTCAAACATGACATCAAAGGAAAGATTGTCACCGCATCTGATAAAATTGTCTACGAAAACGAGGTGAACAAATCTTGGAATGCTGTTAACAGGAATAGACGCCCGTTGGCCTTTGTCAAAGTCAAAGGAAAAGACGATGTAAAAGAGACAGTAAAATTTTGCGCAAAACACGAGGTAGATTTTCCTTGTCATACTTGAAGACTCACTATTTTTTGCGGTTTCAGTTGTCAGTTTTTTTGAGCGATAAATATTTATTCAGCTTTGAAGTGTTTGAAGTGCTTAATCATATACACAACGAGCTATGGAGCGCGTAATAAGCTCAATGGAGAAAGAATGTTCTGATCCAAGTCACGCTATAAAACAACATTTATGAATAGACTAATGTCGACGGTGCAGTAGTCGGTTTCCAAAGAAAAGTGTGCTCGATACTGTACGTAGAGCGGTGATCTGAATAGAGAGGCAAGAAAAATAATAAAACCATATTATTTTCTACAGAACTGTTTCGTAAGTCAACTTCACTCATCAGGAGACTACAATAAGAATATGCGGAGGGCAATTTACATAAAGTTCATGAATAATGTATATTTTTTAGCTTTCTTTGTTGTGTAGTTTGGAATATATTTCTTTGTGAAATGGGATAAAGTATCTAATTAGCTGTTAATTGACAAAACAACAACAGGTTTAACATCTTTTGTTTAACACCAAATAAGATAGCAGCAATTTTTTTATAATTCCTTTTTTCTGTATTCTATTATTTTGCATCCTTACTCTGCGAACAGCGCTACTTTTCTCAAAAGTAGCTCTGTTTGCAGAGTATTTGCATCCCTTAAAACTTACAATATTACTTGATTTAAAATAACTCGCTTTTCAAAACACAAGTGATGACAGGCCATGCATTTAGTTTGTATAGTGAAGCACCTGCAACATGGCTTCATGACATCAAATGAATATACCTGCCTGTATTCTAGCTTGAAGTCTGTGTATATAATGGAGGAACAAGTGTTTTCTGCATGAAAGATGAAGCTGTTGTAATAGATTTGTCAGGAATGTGCAATATNTTCTCGGGCAAAAGATGTAGTTAAGATGTCCCGTGATTATTCTGTTGAAGCAGATGACAATTGTCTTTCTTTTTATATGTTGATTCACATTGGGCCAACAGGGTATGTAACTATAACTAGTTCCATTCTCTTACTTCCAATTTTTGCACACTTCTATAGCTCCCAATATTTTGGAAAGTGTTGATAAATATCCTTTTCTTAAACTGAAAGTGAAAACTAACCCAAGCAAATTAATCTCTACAAGAGAGAATAATGAAGAACTCTCTTTTGTTTTGCTTTCCAGCCCTGAGATGATAGTCAGGGTGCATTACTCTGGAACTCTTCGACGAGGAGGTGAAATTGTACAAGATCTTGTTGACCTTACTCACCCCTACAAGTTTAGTTGTGGACCTGTCAATCACTGCGACTTTCAAAAACAAGGAGATCTTCTGCTGCCAAGTGGAAGATTCAACTATAATGTTCCAGGTCATATCCTTTCAGGTACTAAGAGATGTTGAAAAAACCCAATTGAATAAAGAGCGGCTATCATGCTACTATGCACACGCGCAATCAGACAATTTTAAGGGACATAAAGATGGCTAAAGAAGAGAGAGTATATTGAAAGTTGTAAATCTTTTGCAGTATTGGATCTACAGTRGGCATCTATTTTACCTTTTTTGCATTTTTCAAACCAAAATGTGACACCACAAACAGATGCAAAGGAGACTATATAGTGATTCTGCAACAATTGTTGAATTGCATGCAGTGTTTTTTATCCTCTTATAACAGAGATCTGCAAATTTTGGAWGCATAAACTCACCAGCATTCAAACATTTTTATTTCTAGAGCTAAAAGATGTCATAATAGATAACATTTTCAGCTGTGTTGAAGACATTGGAACTGACCACTTTCTGGCTGGTACCATTGTTTACATGGCTGAGAACTTTGGTGGAAAAGACTGTGAAGTTGGATATGAAGAGAGCTCATTTCCATTTCGAAATAATGCCAGGTAATAGCTGTGGGCATGTGTTTAAGTTTTCAATTTTGTTTACAGTGCGGCTACTGAAACCGGGGCCACCTACATAGCTAGAGAATGTAAAATAATCACAATTTCGACTGAAAACAAGGATTAAAAAGCTAAGAAACGATGATCAATGATATTGCAAAGACCTAAAGCTCAATTAAATGATGTTTTTCTTAGTTTGAATCCTTTGTATTCGATCTAAATTGTGGGGTTTTATATTCTCTAGGTGGCCCCGGTTTTGGTAGCCACACTGTAATTAGTTGGATGATAAGATATCTTACTTTCTTTTTGACATTTTAATTTCCCAACTTAAAAGCAGTTTTCATCTGTTCTGTGATCTAATTTCCTTCATAAGTTATTCTATATTTTACTGTAACTTTTATATGTACACCTACTTGCGAAAACGTTGTCATAGAAAATAGGACATTTGTATTTAGTCAAAAAGGAATAAATTAAAAAAGACAAAAGAAGATTACTGAGGCTGAACGCTTTCTTTTGTCTTGTTTTAATTTATTCCTTTTTACTAAATTCAAATGTTCTATTTTGTATGACAACGTTTCTGCAAGTAGGTGTATATTTTTTTGTCAGTGTTACTCCATGACTTCTTTGCATCCTTTTTTATTGATCCACATGTTAAGATACTGGATTGGAATTAATGCATCGACTAAGAAAGAAGAAAACTTTGAAGCTGTGAAGGACTGGGGCAACCACTTCCAGGACATTAATTCAGAGTATGGAATTCCACCTTTTGATGGAGGAGATGCAGAACAGATTATGGACAAAGTGAAGAGACTTAAACAACAATACGACCCAAATAACATGTTCCACAATAATTTTGTCGCAATAGATGATTCAGAATAAATTGGTGTTTTGCAAACTTGGAGCCTTGTCTGCCTCCTTTGATCTTTGCCTCTCCATGCCTTCACTTCAGATGTGTTTTTTTTTTGTATCCAAATCGAACTGCGTCAGGCGTTCCTGGATCACTCAACAGATACAGGAAGCCCAAATGTTGTGAAAGGACTTATACCAGTATACGTTTTTAGATTTCCTGGAATTTGAATTTATTTGTACACTCATGCCTAGCCACATTTGTCTAGCTTGACTGAATTTTATCACAGGTCTAAATAGTTTAGTTTGGAAGTATAGGTATATTTGCTCTGATCATGCGCAACGAGTAACATTACAGTGATCGCGAGATTCTGTAGCAGACGGATGTCTAGCAGACGTGCATTACCGTAGTCTTCAGATCAAAGGGCAACTGATGTTCAATCATTTATGACAAAGATAATCTATGCACAGGTCACCAAACGTAAGAAGGTGTGCATTCGTGTATTCGATTCCAGAGTTTGTGAATTTCTTTAATATCGCCTTATTTTAGTACGAAGGTTGTCGTATCGACTGATGGCCGACCTTTTACACCTCGCACAGGACATCAAAGGAAAGATTGTCATCGCATCTGATAAAATAGCCTACAAAAACGAGGTCAATAAATCTTGGAATGCAGATAACAGGAATAGACGCCCGTTGGCCTTTGTCAAAGTCAAAGGAAAAGAAGACGTGGAAAAGACAGTAAAATTTTGTGCAAAACACGAGGTAGATTTTCCTTGCTTCACCATGAAGACTCTCATTTTTTTGCGGTTT